GAGGGTGACAGAGGGCCCAGGGGCCTTCAACCAAAGCCGCCTCTTCCAAAAGAAAACTGGAATTGGCAGCCTCAACTAGAGCTTTGCGTTTTCTGGGTTCTTGAGCTGCATGGGCACTGCTGCTGGGAGCCACATCCCTGCGCAAGACTTGAGCCACAATGGTTGTGCCTATGTAAATCCCAGCAGCTACAACGTGATTCCTGTATAGACCTTGGTAGCACATCCACTGAAGCAGACGCATGGATGCAAAATGCTCATAACCTTGTGGCTTCCACACCACCACCCTCAGAATCATGGGCATTGCTGGTACCTTCCTCCCATGCAAGGGTGTCCCCTGCACCGTGGGAGACACTACCCACAGCCCTGAGGTACTACCCAGACAACGGTGAGCCCAGTTGAATCGTGTCTTTTCACCACACACCCTGAACTACAGGAACCCATGGCACATCGCAGGCTCTGCGAGGATGGGGGGAGCCTGTCCTGCCTGTGCTGGGACAAGGCGGGGCACCTTCTCTGCCAAGTGTATGCACAGCTCTTGGCATCCTCTGGACCAGTCAGGACACCCCAGCACAGCATCTGTGTCTGGAATGCCAGCTGTCATGAGGGCCACAAACACGCCAAGCCCAGGACTGCACTGAGAAGGACAAGGCAGTGAACACCAGGATCGTTTTGCCCATCTGATACAACGGGAAGACGACAAAAGCATTAATTGTTTGTGCGTCCTCATGGCAGCTGCTTACCTGCCTCCCCCCCGCCAGGAATGGGGCTGGAGGTGTCTGCACATCCCTCGCCCGCCTCAGGCATGCACTTCACCTGCTCCCTCTCGGGGTCCTCAGCCTGCAGCCCCCTTGCATGAGCATGGTTCCTCCTTCCAGACCCTTTCTGCCCTTCCACTGTCCCTTCCTGGCCACGCACACTAACATTGCCTACACAGTCCGCAGGGAACCTCAGGCCTTGGTGTCACTGATGCGCTAACAAAGACAAAGCTGACACCTCAGGAGAAGGCTCCCTTGCTTCTTCTCCAAAAGTCAACAGGAGATTTTGGCAGGGCCTTTGGCAGGGAATCAACTGCAAAGGTTAGCGGCAGTAAAACCTGGACAGGAGGAGACAGCTCAGCCCCCACCTCCTAATTGTGCTAATCTGTAAGCACTCTCTGCACGTTGTACCGGGACAGCCTGCCCACCAGCTCTGGGAGCATGAAGCCTCTGCGCTAGCAGCAGACTGGAAGACAGGTAACAGACAATACCAAACTTCTGTGAAACTGGCTTTCAAACTAGGGATTCCTGAATTCTGCTAGCTCCAAGTGTGTCCAATTCTCAAGGAAACCTATAGCTTTGCAGATTTCACAAGTTCTCCACAACTCAAAGTATCATGGAATGAAACAAAGCTAAACTGTCACGGTGTGGAAACACCTAGCCTGCAGCTGTCACGGCGTGGGAACACCTAGCCCACAGCCTGCTTGCTAGGCACAGCCTCAGAACAGGACCAGAGACCTGGTTACAGCTTATGGGTCTAGCGCGTAAAACCCCTTCCGGAGTGAGTCGAAGGGGAGAGGAACTTGCAACTCCACACACCGTAACAAAACATGCTTGTTCTGCCCAGAGGGGGAGAGAGGCTGAACTGCCCAAATTGCTCCCCTTCCCTCCCAAATCTTCTATGAGTTCTGCACACACCTGGAACCACGCTCTTCTATCAAGGACGTGTTTCTAGTTAGGCATCAGTTTCATGACTGAAGATGTCCTGACAGGCAGTTCTTCAACAACTTTCTCAATTCACAGATGCCCCTCTTTTGTCAGGACTGTGCAAAACCAAGGCAGCTAAACACAAGGGAAGGAAACTTCAACATCGGATGCTGAGATCTGTAAATACCTGAGCTGTGCTTCTGCAAACTTGAGCTTACCAGGAAAACCGCCACTGCACTCAAGAGCAACTCACAGGTAGTGCCGATAAACCCAAGACAGGTTAAAACTTAGTAATTCGCCCTGCCTCAAACATTAAAAAAACCCAAAAAAGGCTATTCTCTTCCTGTACAAACCCAGTTTCATTTTCGGTCATTTCTGGGAATCCTGACCAAGGAAAGCATTCCCCGCCTTCTCCTCGCAGCCCACCCACAGCTTCCAAGAATGCATTTAGGAGCATCTACTCTTGGCACAGTGACTTCAAAAGCACTGAGACTAAATAAACTGAAAAGGGCTGCAACGCACAGTGTCTCTGGAAGCACAGCTCTTAAATGAGGCCACTATATGCTGCCTAGTCTTATTATTCCAAATTGTTGAAAATAAATGCCAAAGTTTTGAACTATCCACCACTTATAGTTACTGTTAACCATTTCATCATGATGCTACAGCTAATCCACTGCAATCCTGACAGATAAGCACAAACCAAACACAGAACCAAAATAACTTAGGCAAGCATGCATGAGAAGAAAATTTAAAATACCATCACCGAAGACGGTAGCCAATAAAGCCTCCCGCTTAACTCCTTCAGGCGCAAAGCCTAACGGAAAGCAATGCTTACCTTGTGAACCAAGCACCAATTTTAAATTGCTGTGGAAACTGGCAAGCTGAAGAAGCTGATAAAGGTCTAAGGCTTACTATACAAATCTAGCTGCTCCAAGAAAACCCCACTTGACCATAAAAGCTAAGGGCATGAGCTGCAACAGCGCAAGTTTCATCAGCCTTGCTTCGGGAGACGGTGGTGCACTCCAGGTCCAATACACACGGTGTCAAAACACAGTTCTAGCGTCACCTGTCAGTCCGTTAACGGGGAACATTTGTTCCACCTTCCTCAAGGTGTTTCCAAAGTCACTCCACCTCCACAGCCTGCTCCACCTTCTGAGACGGAGAAACTTCGAACACAGCACCTGCTCACCGTGACTTTGAACCTCCAGTGCCTAAAGGGCCTGCCACCTTTAAATGCCAGGCCAAGCCAGGCAATGACTGCAACATCCAAAAACTCCGTTCCACGAGAATGGGAACATCCACAACGGAACAGAAGGTAAATGCAAACAGGCATTAGTCCCTCGATTCATAAGCAATCTGCACACAGTTCGACACCTCTCCTTAGGGCACTTCAGCATTAAGGGAAAAAGCAAAGCTCATCATCTCTCCATTTCTCACTCACAAGCCTCCCAGCTGTCCCACAACCCTTCGATAATTTTCAACAGTCAATACCTACAAATTGCTTGAGATCATTTGGACTTGATGATCTTAAGAGGTCTTTTCCAACCTAATGATTCTATAAAACAATACTTTGATGAGTGATGCTGCCCCAGAAACCTACGTAAGTTGTAATTCAGAGGTAACTAGGGCTACGAAGATGAGGGGACTGGAGCACCACTTATGAGGAAAGGCTGAGAGGCCTGGGGCTCTTTAGCCTGGAGAAGAGAAGACTGAGAGGGGACCTTATCAACGCTTATAAATATCTAAAGGGCGGGTGTCAAGAGGATGGGGCCAGGCTCTTTTCAGTGGTGCCCAGTGACAGGACAAGGGGCAACGGGCACAAACTGGAGCACAGGGAGTTCTGCCTCAATGTGAGGAAAAAATTCTTTACTCTTAAGGGTGACAGAGCACTGGAACAGGCTGCCCAGGGAGGCTGTGGAGTCTCCTTCCCTGTAGATACTCAAAACCCACCTGGACACAATCCTGTGTGATCCGCTCTAGGCAAACCTGTTTTACAGGGGGGTTGGACTAGATGATCCCCAGAGGTCCTTTCCAACACCTGCCATTCTGTGAGTCCATGATTACCTTCTCTAGTGTTTAACTCTCTCTACATGGAGACATCAGTTTTACATCACTTACTTGAGGTAGCTAAGCAATGCCTTACATCACACTTCAAAAGGTAACAGACCTGTTACTCAGTTAAGCTTGAGTTTATGCATTTTCAAAGCTCACCAAGCAGGCCACCTCCAGCACTTTCTTTAGCAAGCTTCACGCCGTTTCAAACAAAGCTCACAAAAATAGCATTGGTTAGCAAGTGGTCAGGTGAAGATGCTCCTCCATTCAAGACACCCCAGGTTTTTGTGAAGGGTCAACAAATCAACGGGATGAGAGGAATGCAGCGGAACACCCGGGCAGATATCCAGATTCAACAGATGTGCACCACACCTACCAAATGCGAGCGTTCAGCTATGCCGGCCAATTCAAATGGTAAAAATCAAATTACAAAGGCTGGCTGTTTTGGAATTAAAACCTTGTTTCTAAACTACTGCTATTTCATAAGAATGCTTATTGGCCTGGGGATATTCTAAAAATCCTTCTTTTGCAGGTTACAGTGGCGAAACACCAAAATCTGCCCACAGCCTTTTCTCTAGGGGTTGCTCTCAAAAACTATTTCTACACGTTTTTGGTATTAATCAGAGGCCTCTTAGCCAAAAGCTTGTAGCAACAAAATTTGAAGCCAGTTATCTCTCTTCCCACACAAAAATCAAACCTTCCAGTGACACTGTACAATTCCTGGTATATGCTCTTAGTTTGTTGGTGAAATATTCCACGTCCTCACATATTATCTCATGATCACTACTAAGCATTAGCAAGTGTCAGCGTTCTCAGGATTTACGGTCTATATAAATGACTAAACTGCTCAGTAAAAGCTGCAGGTGATTTAAATGACCAAGCACCATGTAATGCAAGTTAAATAAATAAACTTCAATAAAAGATTTATAAAGCACCTGTTCCAAAAAACTAAAGGAATCAGCCACAATCACATACACATACACTTGTCCAAAAGCAGTTCTTTAATTTATTTTTTCAAATGTGCACTATGCCATGAATTCGTAGGGAATTGGCTCCAGCAGCTCTGGATCCTTGCCATTAGTCCTCACAAAGTGTGCTTCTCTTGGTGGGGCAGGCTGTAAACCGGGGAAAAAAAAAAAAAAAAAAAAAAGAAGAAAGAAAACTCATGGCACTAAAACTCAAAAGCGACCTTACAGAAAATTCATTTTGACAACCATTTATCACAGTATTATATAAACATTACATCAATTTTACCATTCCTAGTTTCTTCAAAATTTGATTTGAAGAACAGCAGTAAGAAAATGATCTGCTTGAAAGCGTGCTTGACTTTCACTGCCAAACACTTTACCCTCTGCAATTTACTAACCCAAACTATCACAAAGTGATGTACCTGAGGGTTCCACAAGAAACAGCCATTATCTCCTCTCTAAAGTCTCGTTATTCATTCTTTTCTTGAAGGGTTACTGTTGCAGCTAAATTCAACTAAACCAAAGACAACACTGATCCTAGAAATCAGCCAGAGCTTCTGCTCCAGATCAGCGACAGAACAGGAACCATCCGTCCCTTTGCTCCAGGCAAGGCTAAAATTTCCACCCAGGAACAGGTGCAGCTCTGTTCAGGCACCAAACATGTCAGACAGCTCAGATGCAGGCACATCGATGCTGCTGCTCTTAAAAAACCAAAATACAAGTAACCCACAGCAAAAGGATGGTGAACCCAAGTGAGGGTGGTAGCAGACGACACCTCCAACACAATCTGCCAGAAGCCTGGATTTTTCAGAATGCTGTAAGCAGCTTAACTCAAGTGTGGTGGGGTTCTTCAGTTGTGTTTTTCAAAGGCAGACAGAAAGAGCTCAGCTTACAGCATAACATTTGTTTCGGAAGGAAACAACATTTTACTATACTGGTTTGGTTCTAGCTGGTTTTTTTGGTGAACTGAATCAGCTGTGCCAACTACAATAAAAATATTACCTGACGTTTCAGTTGAACCCAAATGCCTTTTTCTTTTGCTTCCTTTTTCTTCTTTTCATTCTCCTTCACACGCTGCAGAAAGCTGTCTCTGCTCTTGGAATGTTTAATATGCTCAATACGCACATTAATTCTCTTGGCAAGAATCTTGCCCCTAAGAAAGGAAAACAGATTTTATGCTACTGTACTTGAAAAAAGGCTACTTAAGAGCTAGTTTTATGGCCCTTACAGATAACTTTTCTTTAAAGGGCAATCACTCAGCATACACTGCTGCAAATGCAAATTAGCTGTAACTTACACAACTGAGAGCTTATTAGTATGTAGCGATGTGCTGACAATTTCACATTAAGATTGTGGACAGCATGTAATTCAAACCTTGTAGCATATAAACAAAGAATTGTATCACCACTGTACTCCAGTTCAGTACCTGTGAAAAAACTCAACCTGTCCTTTTCTGACTAAACTGTACAAAATCCAGCTGGACACAGCTACAAATTAGCATTTAAGAAGGGCTTCAGTACCAATGGTAAAGTTGGTTTAGAAAATCCCCATTAGGTCATGTCACTTCAAGTGCTGCTCAGTGAAATAAGAACTGTTTCCTCTGACAGGATCCAAGTCAAATAAGCATCATTTGCTTGGGTTATAAAAAGGACATACGCTTTACCCACCTTGAATGACCAATCAAGACAACAACTGTCTAACTGGCAAAGTGAAAGGAGGGTGTGATTACAGATCAGCTTTCCCAAATACAAGTTTCAATACACGGAATTTCATTACTTACTTAACCTGCTTGTTAACAATAATGCCCACAGCGTGCTGAGTAACATTATATACCCTTCCAGTCTTGCCATGGTAACACTTGTGCGGCATACCTTTTTGAACAGTACCCATACCCTGTTAAGAAGTAAAACAAACAAACAAAAAGGCATAAACTTTAACTTGGAAAACAAAAAAAACACACAAGCAACATCAAAGAGTTTTCTTTCAGAAGTTATTTAAAGTACACATTTCAAATTACTTGAGGTTTATGTAAAAATACTCCTATTTTATTCGTACATTAAAGTTTATAGCCATGCATTTTGTATCTGAAGACTACCAAATTTTGCTATGACACTTCTGGTTGCTTTCAGTGTCGGTGAAATGATTGATCACTTTGCTTTCTGCAAGCAATCACGGAAGACAGTCATCATCAAGCTCCAGGGCATCAAGAAGTGTTAATTCTGAACAGGACAGTTCTCCAAGAGTCAAACAACAAACAAGCAAATCACACACCACCTGCCATGTGACTGTTATGAAACAAAACTAAAGGATTCAACAAAGTAGGAATCCTTGGTGAAAGGTTTTCAGATTCACTACAACTTAACTTTGAAAGTACAGCTACTTTTAAAGGCCAAGTTCTAGAAAATGCCAAGTGACAGGAAATGCTACTTCACTTTCCCCCCCTTTATTAATATATAGGATGTATCCTTACATTTATTTCTTGGCTTCTAGTTTTAACATGGCTTTGCAATCACCATCCCTGTACATACTTATTTCAAGTAATGATTCAGAGATGCAGACTATGGCTCTTCTGAAGAGCAACTGCAAGTCAGGCAAAACAAGAACATCTACCAAAACGGCAGCTGGGTTCCTACGAAAACAGTGCCAGTAGGCACCATACAGCAACCCAAGTATTAGATACGGCATCTGTCACTCACTTTTTTTCAGCTGAACAAACAGTAATGAAGCACAGCTAATTATTTTATATATATAAACCCACATAAAACAGCACGACACGCTGAAGTGTTACTATTGGTTCAGCAAAACAGTCCAATACTGCTTCAAAAGCGAGCGGCGGGCACTAGTGTTTGACACACATGACCCCACTAACAAAAAGACTACTTCAAGAAATCGGAGACTGAAAAGGATGACGCTGCTTTAGCTTTAGATTATGTAGCATTGTAGAAAGTACCTTGATGTCAACTATATCACCCTTCTTGTAGATGCGCATATAGGTAGCCAGAGGGACAACTCCTGTTAAGAGATACAAATTGGTACTTATGAAGCCCACGATTTCACATACACACACAAAATGGGGTGGGGGACATAGATCATGCATTTGATGAAGTTTTCTTAAATACCTCAAATTCAAATTCTATTTCAAAAACATATAACTGAGAAATCAAACCATCTTTTTTTTTTTTTAAAGCAGTAATTACCTCTTCACATGCTTCCCACTTTCGTAAAAAAACCCAACCAACTCAGGAAAAATTACAGCTTTAATCTCGTTCCTAACAGAAGTTTAAAAGGCACTGAACCATTTAATGGTGAACACAGCTGTTATCACTGCTTATTGCTAAGAGGCAAAAAACTGTACATTTAAAGTGTAACTGCTGAAATATTTTCTTCACCTTCAAATTAATTTTTAAGCACTGACAGAATTAGCATTGTTATTTCTGTCAAGCAATCAGAATACCAATGGATAAGCTGTAAGAGCCAAGAGTTTACTTGCATATCACTCTACACTTTCTAGCCCAAGTTGTCAGAAATCCTTTGATACAAGTCACCTAGGGACTGCTGACAGGTCAGTCACTTATCGCAGTGTTCTTACTACAAGGTATACTCACCATGCTTGCGAAACGGCCTTGAGAACATATAACGTGTCCCCCTCCTCT